TATATATATATAGTGATAATTAAGTAGATTATCTTGAAATTAGTGGTAATAGTTACTCCTGTTCCGTGTGTTTGACATTGAGATGTATAAGGTTCGGACCATTTTTGATAAGCTGAGAAAGCTAAGTTCTTTTTCTTTTAAGTTCAGGATTTGAAGTTGAAAAAAGGTTAAATTAAGCCTTTTCAGACAGTTACCAAAATTTCGGCGTGATCGGGTTTTGAGTCATTGGGTGGGCTTCAGGCTAACTAGGACCACGTTTTTTTCGAACTTAGATTTATTTTGTGCATTTCTGATTTCACATATATTTGAAATTAGTATTACTGCTTTTTTACTATTCCCTTGTTTTTTTAATAGAATTGTATTAATATTTTCATTGAAATTATTTAAATATGTAAAGAAGAAAAAAATATGTTAGTGTTCGAAAACTAGTCTTAAGCATCTTTTTATCAAATAATAGTGTCTTTATTTATATTTAAAAAATTATTATATTAATTAATAGTGTGTTTATTTCTACTAAAAATTATTATCTTAATTAATAGTGTCTTTATTATCCGACCTAATTTATTTTTCATGTCGTCTTCATCATATTGGATCGACATTAATAAATATTATCAGACGACATAAAATATTTTTTTTTCTTTTTTAACAAATAATCAAAGTCATATGTGACTCCTCCCCTATTCTTATCCCCTTTGGTTTCACACTTTCACCCTTTCGAGTCTTTCAAACCTGTTTTTTATTAAGCAGAAAAATAAGGTACAAGATTTTTGCGTTTCGGGTCAGACTAGACTTTGACGTTGAAAAAATGGTTTGATCGGGCTGTCATACCGTCGTCATTTCTTTTGCCCAATTGGGCTTTCAGGGTCGGTCTAACCCCTTTTTTTCGAATCAGACCATATTAGATTCGGATTTTAACCTTAGGATTTGAAACTCTTTTTGTCAAATTCATACACATCATTCCACAATAGTAGGTTAATCAATGAGTTTCCACCCCACATAAGCATGTATGGAAATATAGTGTAGCAATCTATTAACAGAGGTTGGATAAGTATATAAAAGATTTTAATGTTGAAACCATATACCTTTTCAAGTGTTACAAACAGATTATAACTCTGCTCTCTGCTTCTCCATCCTTTGCTCCTTGCTTTACTGTTTCACCACTTCTTGCAGAGTTAGCATAGCTAATCACCAAGCAACATATTCTATAGAATCCTTCAAGCATAACTTTAATGGCGTCTTCTTCGACTTCATCCGTTCAGACGAACTTTAAGTATGATGTTTTTTTGAGTTTTAGAGGTGAAGACACTCGTAAGACATTCGTTGATCATCTCTTTCATGCTCTTCAGCACAAAAGCATCCACACTTACAAAGATGACGAGAGAATCAAGAAAGATTATCTTTTTCGATGATGGCTAATTTTATGATTGAAGCATCAAGCACGACCCTGTTTAATAACCTTCACTCTTGTTATTTGCTTCTCTCTTTTTTTTGTTCGACGAGAAGGTTCACCTACAATTTTGTTGACTTCTTTATCGTGATACCGACCACCATATTTCAAAGCATTATAGCCCTTAAAATATTCTTCTAACCTAAAATATGTTATTTCTCTACTCATAGTTTCTTTTTCATCATTAATCATTTGATACAACTTATCCATATTTTTTACGTACATCACATTCAGTTAATTTTCTCAATTACATATATATGTTCACAGTTACTGGATATATATACAAATGAGTTATATAAAGATGTGAATATATTGAAAATATATGTATATGAAAAGCATACATGATAGTGTAATTGTCTAATGTACATACTAATAGAAATTCAACAATCATATTAAATTCAATAAATAAAAATATATCAGGTTCATCGGGTTGGGTTCAAATAATAGTAACCCAATATCAACCTAATACCTACGGTTTGACAATTTTACAACTCGATTATACATCGAGTTGCTTCGGGTTGAGTTATTTCGTATTGGGTTGGGTTGATCGGTTTTTTGAGCACCCCTTGCTTGTTATGAAAACTCTCTGAGGACCAAATTTGACATTATTCATGAAAATAGAAACACAAACCTCTTTTATCACATCATTTACAAGCAATTCACATAATTGACCCAAGTATATGTATATAGTAGAACTCTATCCCTTTTCTATGAACCATATCTTCTCTTTAACTCAAAACACATCAAGCCCTCCGAATTTTCTGAACAATCTTAATTACAATAGTGTCAATATGGAACCAATTTTTTCCCTTTCTAATAGTATACAAATTCAACCTCTAAAGACCCCTTTTCAATCACAACTTGCATCGTATCAGTTGCTTGATTTCTTCTCCGTTGTCACCCCGACAACGACATTGCTTACCTAAACCATCACAAAAGATGCAAGTTTAAACAAGGGTACAATCAGTAGAAAGAAAAAAGAGGGGGCGGAGATTAGGAACACGAAGGTACCAGTTTTCCGTTCTCATCAACAGAATTGGGGTTTTCAACGACAATGGTTTGAGTATGAGAACTGGGCATGTCCTGTAGAATATGTACCGAAATTATTATACGACGTTAACAAATTTTTGCTAAACCATTGTATATATTACTATGTATCGACTTTGGTGCCGTCCTCTTTCCTAAAAGCAATCAATGCAGAAGAACGGCATTTTTATTAGTTAGAAGAAAGTAGCAAAAGTAGCATTTCGATCTCTACCAACTGGAGTGTGTTTTAGTTACGTTTAAGTTTTTTCGACAAACAAAGTACAACCCCTAAGGCCATTTTTTGTTAAACTATGGGGATCACACATCAAATTAAAGCGGATGCACCTTTAAAACTCCTAAAAGAATTTCCACTCGTGTCGGCACGATAGACCGGTAGCATGGGTGCCCCCTTTCCTCCTTAAATTCACCCTTGTTTCTACTTTAATTTTTTCTATTTGCATTTTTGCAGGAATGTTGGTTGTTCACAGACAAAGTGTCAAAAATGCTAATCACTATTAGAAAACTATAGATAGTAGCACGTCTAGCATATCTAACCTTGATAAACTTGAAATAGAAAAATTGTGATCCCTTACAAGCAGTTGGGTTTTCACGGAAACAACTTCTCTAATCCTTGAGATAGAGGTAAACTTTGCGTACATCCTACTCTCCCCAGACTCTACTACTCCATGTGGAACTGACTGGGTTCATTTGGTTTGAAGATGAAGTTTTCCCAATAGACCAAGGCTTCTTGACCTTGCAACAACCGGGAGGAAATCTTGCTATGTAGTTTTTCCCTTCTCGTTAGCATGTTATAAAGAGGTTGCTTTCGTGACATATTGGTCCAAGAGAGTCACCTCACTAGTTGCAAACCAGACCAAACAAGTCCAGTATATACCGCCCAGAGGTGGGGTCTGGGGGTTGGGTGTACGTAGACATGGCCTCTAACCCAAGTCCCAAACTGTAAAGAGTGTGTTTCCGTGAAGATCCCTGGCTTGCCTCTATATTCTTGAAAGGAAAAATTTAATAAATAAAGCCAAAAAACAGGTAACTTACTGTTGAAGTAGAGGGCATTGATTCTGGTGTGGTAGTTGCATTAGGTTGCACTGGAATAGGAACCCTTCCATTGCTCGCCTGCAGCAAACAGAGACATATAATCAGTGAGAACACAAGAAAGCATCTTTTTCTCTTTTTGAAGTATATAATACTGTATATATGGCAAGACTCACATACACACTCCCCACCTCCTTGACCTCCAAGAAAGTTGGGATCTACTAGCAACCCAGTTGCCCCAGTAATTGACCCTTTGGCACAAAGAAAGCATGTTCCAGGCCACACTATGGTAAGTAGTCAAATACGCCATTAACGAGAAATTGCAACATTTCCTTTTCTGGTAAGTTCCCAAGTTAGATTATATATTTTCTAATTACAGTGATGTGATTGATTTAGGCCCAATATGATTCCTTCATTTTTCTTAATTGGAGAATTATTTAGATGATAGTCAAATACTTTGCTTAAACTTTGTATCAAATCGAGCGCCATGATTTTCAGGAAAAGTAAGCCAAACACCAGGAAGTAATTTGTTTACAAGAATATCATATGAAAACATATATAGCAGCATTCATTCTGCAAAAAAGGTATGACTCCACCATCTGGAGGGCCCCACCAGTACTGGTCCGACTGCCATCATGGGGGATTTAAATTGTGTCCTATGGGCATATGGATGGTGCCTAGAGAAGAAACCCAGACCTCCCATTTATTCTGCAAGGACGCTTACCTCCTTAACCACTAGACTAAACTCATGGGGACTAGAGCAGCGTTAATTTATCTTTCTGCCAATCCAACTTGATGATTATTCTTCTTAAAGAAAAGGCAAAAAGCGAAAGCCCTTGTCATTTTTCTTAGACCATAGGGAATACTATTTTTGGAAACAAGGGTATGTCGCACTCGTGGTAGCACTAATGGGTGCCATATATTTAATTTTTTGGAACTTTCGAAGCGTCTATCTTTTAATTAAATTCGACATGAATGTTTTTAGCCTTCTAGTTTCAAAATGTTCTGTTATTGTAATATCATTTTTAGTCTATGACCGACTGTAATCCCACAAAAATGACGGAGTTGCAACTCCAAGAAAGTTTTCTGCAACTCCAGAAAAATATATCAAGAAATGAGTATGATAGTAGTGATGAAGCAACATAAGAATGACAAAATAAAGAAAAAAGACAAAATAATGGATGGTGTATTCTGTTGTACTCACATTGACATTTGTAATGTAGTGACAAACTGCACATTTAACTGATGGTGGACCATATGGATACATCAGCATCGTCCGGCAATTTGCACAATTGACTTGAGCCAGCTGGTTTGAAACTGTTAACGAAAAAAAATTACATTTAGAATTTGCAATTCCCTAATACTTTCCTAGGAATACCGATTTGTCTTTAATCAATAATACATATGTTTAAGATATTAATTTTTCCAAAATTCCCATTAATGTCGTTGCGTTCTTCCCATCAGTGACAGCTAAACATGGCAACAACGGGGTACCTTTTGAAATTAAGTTGTCCTCCCTCCGTCACAAAATAAATGTCCACCGTGAAAAGAGCACATAGTTTTGAAATGTGTAACTGTTACACTTTTTAATTAACCAAATGACAGTTTTGCCCTTAAAAACAGTAGGCACTTACTTCTAAAAGTAGACACTTACTTACAAAAGTAGACACTTGTTTTCGGCTAAACAAAAATAGAAGTGTGGACACTTATTTTTGGACAGAGAAAGTAAAATCTAAAAATGTCCAACGTGCTAGACATAGAGGAGCATTCTCAATATAAAAGTGGTGTGTATGCATGTTTATATGAGAGAGGAGAGGGGGGAGTGGCCACAAACCAACTTGAAATGTTAAGCATGGTAACTTGCAGTTGTTCCAAATTATGCAAAGCTATTCATAATTGATTTATTTCACACATTTCCCCAAGTTTTATCAAACCACACTTTTAAGTTTTAAACTGTTCATGGGTTCTAAGCATTAGAAAGTCCTCATAAGAAATCTCCATATTGCAAAATGAATCATCAAAGTATACCTGGCGCAAGATTCACTATATGACAACAAGAGCATCTAACGCTTGTGGCACCACGTGTATACATTAGCAACGTGCGGCAACCTCCACAAATCAGTTGGGCCATTTCCATCCCTAAAAGATTTCCCACCAACATATATGATAACAAAAGGCATAAGAACAAATATAAAGAAGTGTGGTGAATTGATCATAAAGATCATTATAATGAAATGCAAATCAACATCATATACCAATATTTGGATCAAACAGCACCATCATAACCATATATTCTTTTCCAAAATTATTTTAGGGGAATAGTAATAGATACAAAGATGATCGTTACCCAAAAAGCTTTGAAGCCATCAATTTTCAAGTACCAAACTTGAAGGAAGTAGGCTTTCGAATTATGGGGAAGTATAAAATCATATAATCCCTATATTGCACTAAACTTACAAACATTTGAATTGGAAGATAGTTTAAGGAAAGTGTTACACTAGAAACACTCTTTCAATAAAGGGGAAAAAAAAACTAGTAAACCTAAATCAATACCATTAAATTTTATGTAATGATGATGATAGCAGGTAAACAAGAAACCATAGCTTGGAAAAAAAATTAACCTTGAGGGCTAGCTGGATCAGAGCCATATGGAATTAGTCGAGGTGGGTGTAAGGTGACCCTGACACCCATTTTAAATAAGAATTTCCAAAAGAGAATATGTCGCAATCTTCATGGAACTTTCCAAAAAGGAATGCAACGCAATTCTCATGTGAGTGAGGGAGTATCTCGTAAGAAATTCAGGTTTGGTATAGAACGACTGTAAATTACTAAGGTGAAAAGTCCCTACCCCCAAGAAAATAAATCAACACAAGAAGTAGCTACCATCATTTTATACCCTACATCACCAAAAGTGTATCCAACACGCACACATATGTGATACTTATTCCGGAATTAAATCATATATGTGGAGATCAAAGAGGGCCAAAGTTAAGTGATGACTGATGAAGAGTGGATGGATGATACTCCCTCCGTCCCAAAATAAATATCCACAATGGAAAAGACAGAGAGTTTTAGGAATCCGTAATCGTTATAATTTTTAATTAACTAAATAACAATTTTACCTTTAATGACAAGGGAGTAAAGAGTTCCTACTCTCATATTTCATAATAGAATTGAAAAGTAACTTTTGAAAGTGGAAACTTATATTGAGATGGAGGCAGTAATTAATATAATCAGTCAATCTGGAATACTGCATAGGCAATCTTAAACAAACTTGTAGTGGCCATATTTTGTACATGTCAAAATATCCATATTTTCTCAAACAAAATCAACAAGAAAGCTTCAATTCCGAATATCCCAATACGAATTACTTCTCAACAATTGTAACCATTCGGAAATGAAAATTAACGATAAAAGAAAGAAAGAAAGAAAAAGAACATAAATTATCATCTTCTAGTTTGTATACATCAATTAACAGGTAAACATAAAATAAAAGACTTGAAATCGTACCGGAAGGAGGAACCGAGGTAACAGAATTACATAATGCACAGCACACATTCGAAGCTCCTCTCGGATAGAGCAAAATGCTTCTACAACCACTGCACACTATTTGGCTCTGCATATTTCTCTCAAGTTCAAACAGCCCCAAAAATATTGAAAATTTTCACCTGCAAAATTGACCTCAAAATCTAAAATTCTGAAAGATATCCAAAAAAACTCCGCGTTCCGATTACACTTATTGAAAAGAAATCGTGTGTAACCTTACAATTACAGATTCTTGATCATCAACCGAAATTACATCTAGAAAATAAAAAGAACAATCCGAGAAATCACAATGAAACTACGATGAAATCAAAGGTTACCTGAACCAAAAAAGATGGATTTCTTGTTCGATTTCCTGATTAACCGATTGGAAATTGGTTGTAGGGAATTTATCGGTCATCAACGGGCATTGTTGAGAGAATCGGGTTTTATGACGTTGAAAAGGAGGAACGATAGAGATTTGGGTCTGTGGAAAAGAGATTTCTTTTATTCTTTTTTGCTAAATTGCATCTATGCCCCTTTAACTTCATTTTTTTGCATTTTTCAAGTTTTGTTAACATTTTGTTTTCATTTGACACCCTTCATGACATGTTTGTGTTATATAAGGGGGTGTTTGGGATTTGCTTATTTGAAACGACTTATGTTTTTCTACAAAAGTGTTTATCAACTTATTATAAGTTAGAATGGTGTAACTTCTTCAAAAGCTCATTATTACCGGTTTGGCACCGGTATAAGATGTTTATCCAAACAGTCAAAAATGCTTATTACCGGTGTCACACCGGAATAAGCCAATAAGTTATTTTTATAAGCAATCCCAAACACCTCTATAATTGGGGACAATTTCATCTTTTCAAGAACAGATCCATTGAAGACGGAGTAGGGCCTGTAGCTCGGAGATTAGAGCACATGACGAACTACTTTACCATATTTTAAGTTCAACGGTTTTAATATAATTTCATACAGTAGTTCGTCTTGAACCAGATCTAGAGTCGTTCTCATATGACAAACCCATTCTATGTACTATCAACATGATCGATTATCACAAGTCACGATATTCATTTTGCAAAAATACAGAAACAAAGAAATTCCATGGTCGAACTACCAAAATAGAATGAGTTAGGGGCCGTTTACCAAGCGCTTACCCGAGTAAGCGCTTACCAAGTCACATTACCTTATCGAATGAATATAATAAGGACCAAGAATCTTACCCGATAAGAGCGAGACAAGGACCAAGAGTCTTACCCGGTAAGTGATGGCGACGACTCTTACCACAGTAACCACTTATTGGCTAAATTGTTGCATACGATATCGTTTTAGTGAACTAAAATCTTACCCGATAAGTAATTGATAGTATTAAATTTTATTGGTAAGCGCTTACTTGGTAAGTGTTTGGTAAACGGCCCCTTAAGCTCTAAATGATTAATTTATTGTAAATTTTATCTGAGTAAAACGGGAGAAGGTGTTTAGATGCATTGCAAACAAAGCAACTTCAAGTTGTAATAATCAATTTTTCAGTATTTTTGACAAAAACTGATTATGCTTTTAGGGTCATATAGTTATATTTTAAGAAACAAACAATAAGTTCTTTCAAAAAGCTTGATTTTTCAAACGAAATATAATATCAGCTAAATGTCTCCAACTTTAATAAAACGATTATATAATAAATTGTTGGTCTCAAAAGGGTCTACAAGAATACTAAACAGTTTGTAGAAGGGGGGGATGAATACAAACACAAAGTTTTCAAATTTAAAATATATATTGATAGAGAAGATCAATACAGATTTTACAAGATTGTTTGCGGAAATATAAGGTAAAAGAAACCTATCTAAACAATCTTAAGTTACACACAAAGGTTAACAATTACAAGAAAAGAGATTGCTAAAAGAAAATATCTTTTACTTTAAGCTGAAAGAAGCTTGAAGTAAGAATGAGGGAAGAGAGTGATGCGCGCACTCTGTATGGAGAAGAAACACTTCTATATATATCCAGTGCATTAAATGTCCATTTAATGCAGTAAGGTAAGGTTTAGAGTGCGTGTCAAGCCTTAASAGGAAGGCTTGTCYTTTGYTACAGTGAATAGTACAAAARCACTATTCTTGARCAGACATCCTTRCCTAAAGTTGGTGGACAAAGAGTCGACTAATCGGCTCCGTACCGTACTATCTTTGGTAAGGGTATGGGTTTGTCCTTTTGTGTGTGCAAGGACAAAACAACAACAATCGTGCTAAGTAAGCTTCATTTGATCGCTGAATGCTGGAATGACCTGAAGGTCTCATCATCATTCGCTGAAGCTAGAGCAGTCTTCACACATAGTTAGACAGGCTTGTAATCACTGAATACCGCTTCAGATCACGTACGCGCCAGTCTCTAATCTTCAGTTTCAGTCTTCGACGTTTGCTGAAGGATCTTTGGTGTGAGTGTTGTTTTCTTGAAGTATTGTTGTCTCTGAATGATTTACAAAGCGAGTTCTTCAGCGATCACTGAACATACTCAGTGTATTAATCGTTGGAACTGAAAATACAGAAATTAAAATACATCGAAAGGAAAAAGGGATTATCATCAAATCACTGAGAGAGAGGATCAACATAAACCTTTGAACATTGTAACCAAAATTACAAACTCTAGTCATGCTGAATATTTAGCAGATTATGATGATTTTGATAGAGCAGTAAATATATCATAAGGATATTCAATTATGTTTCTTTTACTTTATAATGATCAGTTTTGTTGTAACTAATATTAAACTGATTATTTAATTAGAGATACTCATAAGTAAAGTAGATTGTCCATATTAAGAACTACTTGTAGTTATAACAACTTTCGGAATACACATCCAAGTAACCCTAACTATTAAACAGGTGGAAAATTACTCTTTAAATTGTCGTTTTGCCTTTACAAGAAACACGCGTACTTTGCACGAGTTCGAATATGCTTCTGACCGTACTGTTCGAAGACACTGCGATTTACCTCCCTTAAATAATCCATAAGACTAAGGGTACTATAAAATACTAGAACGGTACTCGTACAATGCATCGAGACACATCTTAATTTCAGTGTTTCGTTTTATTTCTTTTTTATGTCGATATAATACGGTTTTATGTGGTTTTGAGAAAACGATAATGTTTTTATTTTTGAATAAAATATAAAATTTGAAAGTATCATAAAATTTTAAAAAAAAATATATATCAATATCGGTATCAAATTAATATTTTTAAAAGTTCTTGTGTTTTGATGTAATTCTTAATTTAATTTTTTTAATTATAATTTGATTTAGGTTTAGTAACAAAGAAATTTGATTTGAGTTTAATAATATAATTTTTTATAAAGATAATAACTAAGTATTCTGTTAGAACTCAATGATTATCATAATTATATTTTAGATTTTTTATATTTAAAATGAGACGTTTATCCAATATTTGATTATGTTTATCTGCAGTTAGTTACACGAATTCAAATATGAATCTTTAATAAGTTGTACTTATGCACAATTTACTTGTAATTTTAAATTTTAAGTAATATACTTTAATAAACAGTACTTTATGTATAAAAAATAATTTTTAAAAGTTTTTGTCAAATGCTTTATAATATAATATAGATAACAGAAACCTTACATTCCACGACAAAAAGACCAAAAGGGGGACTAAAGTGTAGATATCCCGAATTTTGAGGGAAGATTTATATCAAGAATCTTATGCCGGATTTTGTTATTTACTCTGAAAGTAAATTTACAATTTGCATCCCCTTGATTTATTAATAATTCTGACTTTAGTCCATATAGTTTATAAATTACAATTTTTGTCCTTATAGTTTATAATTTAGTGATATTTCTGTCTTTATAGTTCATAATTTATTGATATTTTTGTTTTTATAATTTACAATTTACTTTTGTTTCAGTCCCTGTGGTTTACAACTCTTTATTTTTTGGTCCCTTATACTTTATAAGTAGAAATTAGTATAAGAACAAAAATATCAATAAATTACAAACCATATGAATGAAAATTATGATTTCTAAACCATAAGAACGAAAATCATAATTTAAACCGCATGGACGATAAACATAATTTACTTTTACTCTTGTTGTATTTTCGAAATTAATAAATCAATATTTATACTATATTATAAAGCATATGACAAAAATTCTTAAAAACCATTTTTTATACATGAAGTTCTGTTTATTGATGCATATTACTTAGGGGGTGTATGAGATTGCTTATTTAAAACAACTTATGTTTTTTTTGTAAAAGTGCTTATTAACTTTTATGGTATCAAACTGAAGTTTTGTAAAAAGTGTTTGGATTAGCTTATAGCGGTACCAAACGGCAATAAGCTGATAAGTTGTTTTTTAGTGTTTGACAAATTTTGCTTATATCTGTAAAATGACCAAAAAGGACAGAGAGAAAATTGATATTTTTATCCGGAGAAGGGAGAAGATTGAGATCGATGTTATCTGGAGGAAAAGAAATAGGTATAAAGGGTGATAGGGTTAAAATGGTAAACTGGTAATAAGCAGTTTTTCATAAGTCAGGATGGATTAACTTATCAAAAACTGCTTATTACCGGTTTGGCACCGATATAAGCAGTTTTCTTTTTTCTTATCCAAACACTAGGTATTAGCTTATCACCGATGCCAGACTGAAATAAGTCAATAAGCAGATAAAATAAGCAATCCCAAACACCCCTTAAAATTCAAGAATACAAGTAATTATGTATAAGTACAACTTATTAAAGTTTCATGTTTGAATTCGTGTAACTAATTACAGTAAAAATAATCAAATACAAGATAAATATCTCATTTTAAATATAAAAAATCTAAAATATAATAAGGATAATCATTGAGTTTTAACAGAATACTTAATTATTATCTTTATAAAAAAAATTATATCATCAAAACAAAAACAAATTACTTTCTTATTAATCCTAAATTAAATTATAATAAAAAAAATTGAATTAAAGATATTACACAAAAGAATGAGAACTTTTAAATAGTTATTTTGATACTAATTTCGATATTTCTTTTTCCAAAATTTTATGATATTTTAAATTTTATATTTTATTCAAAAATAAAAATGTTATTGTTTTTCCAAAACTACATAAAACCGTAATATAACATCAAGTGGAGACAGAATAAAACAAAGCATTAATATCGAGATATATTTCGTTGCATTATGCAAGTAAACTTGTAGTTATATAAAATATAATTCTTTCTAAAATACCACCTAATTAAAATTTAATTCTAAAACAAAATAACCCCTTGTTAGATCTATAACATTTACATTATAGTAAAAAATGTATTTAAACAAATTATTACAAAAAATAAGCATTTTATTTTCTATAACTCATCTTACATATTAATCAACTCAGTGTAGAGGTAATTTGCAACATATATCGGTCCATGCATCGTTGCCGTTTCCCCCATAAAAACGACCTCCAG